TCCAGATGTAGCATGCCTGCAAAAATTGTACTAAAGAAAGATGGGTTTTGTCAGTTAGTAAAGGAGATTACAGCATTGTTGTAAGAGTAGTAAGTGCAGGCTTTGTTAGATAAGAAATGGCAGCGCTGATGGTTCCTGTTCTTTGGTGATTAAAAGGGATGAAAGTGAGGATTATTTTTTGAAGGTCTGTTGGAATAAAAGCATTGCTGTAAATGTTTTTTTTTTTCCTGGTAAGGCTGTTAGGAAATAGTGGCCTCAGTTAATATCCCTTAAACAAAACAGCCTATCATCAAATGTATTGAGTTTATTAAACAGGCAGACCATTGTCCATATAGTTTAAGAAGGTAGGAATAGAGAAACACTGTTGAAATGTTGATTTGATGATTTTATTGCCACAGCAAGTAAGCACAGTCTGAAACAGGCCCATTTTGAAACCTAACGATAAAAACTCAAGAATGTGACTTTACAACATTATTATGTACTTTCTCTATTATTCTGTGTCTTTAAATACAGCAACTCTGTAGTCAGAAAATAAAATTCTGTATATATCAATTTTGTACTTTTATGTTATGCAAGCAATGAAGCACTGGAAAGTGATTTATACGAGGCTCAGCAAGCAAGGTCAAATCTTTGACTCAATTAAAGATAGGAAAAGATAGGAAATACTAGATTCCTTCCTAATCTCAGTTGATTTGTAATTGGTTTCTGGTCTTTTTGAATCTTAAGAGGCATTACAGATTGCTTCTTACTGAGTTAGTTACAAGCGGTTTCAGAAAAGCTTTAGGAATCAATCACACTCCACAGAAAAAACTCACCACCAAGCAAGTGAACAGGGAGACCAAATATAAGTTTTGCAGAGGAGAGATGTGTAGTAGCATTGCTTTCTTAATGGCGCACAGGGATGAAAAGAACTGCTCTTGTAAAGAATATAGGCCACTTTTGTTTTCTTCCTAGAAGATGTTATGAGTTACATATGCTTTAAGTGCAGATTGATTGCCCTCCTGGTGAACAAAGTGAAAGATCCTATCCCTCCTCCATTATATTCAATATGATGAAGAACAGTTGGTTCAAATACAGGAAATATTTGTGGAGGTTGGGGAGAAGGACCATATTCAGGGGTGGGATTCTACTGGTTCGGACTGATTCGGGCAAACCAATAGCTCCGACGATCAGCTGGGAGCAAACTGGTTCGCTCCGACGATCAAGTGAACCTGCCCACCCACACCTGCACTTTACTGAACTTTATCTTCTCAGNATTTCATCTTAAAAACTATCATTTTATTTGAAACCTCAACAATCCTATTGGTTTTTAGTAAAAAATAGACATTATAGAGTACTGATAGGAAGAAGGAAGGTGAAATGTAGGGTTGAGATTGCCTTGAGAAAGAAAAAATTGACAAGAAGTAAAAGAATTTATGTAGGGTATTTAGAGTACATATACAATATAATACTATATTATAATTTATAGTATAAAAGTGAGGGAAAGTCTAGCATGTTTTCAGAAGATGTCCCTCAGTGTAAAAATGAATATCACTAAGCTGACTTTTCAGGTATTCTTGAAAGTTTTTTGTCTTCTTAACTTATTATTTAATTTTCCAAATCAATGTGTTATATTTTTACTATGCCCTTAAAGTCTACCATTGCAATATTTATTCCTTTTTCTCAGGCAAACATGTTCTAAATGGCTGTTTCACAAATGTATGCCATTTTTTGTAAATGGGCAGTGGACAGTTTCTATAATCGAGCTAAATAGCATGTGGTCAGTGAGAACAATTAATACGTGGAGTGGCTTACCTCAAAAAGTTATGGCTGCTCCATCACTGTAGGTTTTCAAGAAGAGACTAGACAACTATTTGTCCAAAATAGTATAGGTTGAGCAGGGGCTTGTACAAGAAGACCTCCAAAGTTCTTTTCTGTGTTCTATGCCTTTTCTATTGTTCTCTGTTCTATGATACGTCAGATATGGTGAAACTACAGTTCCCATTGACCTGGTTAGTACAATCATTGTCAAAACATAATCAGAGTTGCTACCCAGAATCCTCTGGAAAACAATCTCATCCTTTCTTATTTAACATATTTAATTGAGTCCACTACATAGTAGTTGGCTTTATTTAGCAATCTATAACAGTTTAATCAACAGTATAAATTTGAGAACCACATAGAAAATATCTCTGTTACTACTTTATGTGGCATTTCTCAGGACATTAATGTATGGATCTGTTGAACAATTTCTGTGTGATACTGTTCAACATGAATGATACATTGAATATTTCTGCTTGCTGATGATTGGTTGTTTCTAGAGATATTTCTATATATGTGTATATCTGTATCTATCATCTATCATGCTTTTCCTTCTAAATGCTTGTCAAAGGGAAAACCATCCCTTTTTATCAACTGGTGTAGTAAGCAACTACGTATTTTTTAGATCTACTACAATATCATATAAAACTTTTGAGATTTTTTTCATAACTGCAAACAGATTTCTTTAGACTATATAAACCATTTTTCTACCCATATATGAAGATGGAGAGGAAAGCAAGGTATGTGTAAGTGAACCCTTGTTATTCACCACACATGCCACAGTTGTGCTGTTGTCAGAAGTATTAAATCTTTGGAACTCTCAGTTGAGTAGGAATTATACTGATTTTACTGCTGGACATTTCCAAAATTGGTCACTTTTATTTATAAAATCCACTACAAACCTACATGCTGTTTACGAAAATGGCAGAGTGCTGTTAAATAGACTATTCTTTAAGTATAGGCATGTCTATAGTGTTACAGCAGTGAAAATGTCTGATATGGCTAGTCCCATCCTAGTGAGTTTGGATTAATACATTTTTTTTAAAAAAAATTTTTCATTGCTTGACTTTTGATGAAAAGTATTCTATGGTATTTGCACCTATTTGATCGTTGAAATTGCATTTTATTTTAACTATATTGTTTTAATTTTTTAAGAGCTGTTGTATGATTTGATACACCCGTTGATTGTTATAGATTACATACTTTGAGACGGCTAAAGTCTTAATAGAGGTCTGATAATTATGTCAAAGAAAACGAACACATAATAAAAATACCTTAGAGTTTGTGCCAGGTGGAAGAAAATATTCAGGCTAGAGAGTGAGTTGCAAAGAATCTGATTTTGTCTAGGTATTTTTTATAGTTTTTTGCTTGTTCATTTTGTTAATTTTGAAAGACAAGTGCTGATGTTATTTGCCCTTGGGGTGGGGATGATACATAGGGTTCTGCTCAAATTGTTTTAATTTTAATTGAATCCTGTAACATTATCATTTTCCCATATCAACCTAAGGAGCTTTTTCCTGGCTAATAGACTACACTCTAACCCCCTCAGAAAAAGTTGTCACATTTTTTTTTATTCTTATTAAATGGATTCTTTATTTTGCTTGAACATAAATGGGAATAAATCAATTTTTAGTGAAAAAAGGAAGTTTTGTTCATTTGAAAAAAAAAAACCTGCTATACATTAAAATAGCCACAACATGATTTATGGATGCCTAACAATTGCAAGAATGTTCTTCTGTCTAATCTTGTTCATGATCTCAAGGATAACGAATTATATTTAATTCTATTATAAACATCATGGTCAGGACTCCTTTGTAATAGAACATTAAACCCTAAAGGACAGTTGTTTGCATTTCAGAAGTGCCTTGAGTTGCTGTACGCTTTAGGCCACTGCCTCATTTTATTATGCATGCTGCGGCAGGGGAAGGGGGTTGGTATTGTTTGTTGTTTATGATATATTAACTGGTTAACATTCTGTTGGAGGAACAAAAATATATGCTTATTTTAAGATTTTTTTTAAAAAATAAACAGTATCGAAATATATCTACATTAAATATAGACAGTACTGAAACAGTCTACATTTGGCTGCATAGACACAGAGGAGAGATTCATGCATCACATTAAGCCAAAATCAAGCAAACTAAATTATGGCTTAGCAGTTTATATAAGCCAGCCCTAAAAGTTGCCCAAGATTTGGAGGGGGGAGGGAAATTCCTCCACAAAGTTTGCAGAGCATTTGAAATATCCATTAAAATACAGTAAGTGTCGCAGCTTGTGGGACTAACATGCATTTCCAAGTAGTCTATGTATATTTATTTATAAAAGTAACTTTTATTTCCTAATTGTTGAAGATAATTAGCACTGATCATTTAGTATTGTTTTTTTAAAAAAATTTCTGAAAAAAAGCTAGATTAAAAATTAGGTATTCCCTCTTTATTTTATATATTTATGTCTGTCTCTCAATCAATCCCTTACATTGGTCAGGTATTTTCTAATGATGTTAATCAGGTCTTCCTGAACTGTAACCATAATTTCAATGGCAGTGAATCCCAGAACAGCTGTTATTAAAGAACATTTTATAGATGTCAGTGAAGCCTTTAAAGCAGTGGTGTCACACTCGCATCGCCACTGCATCATCACGTGATGTATCACAACTCCCCCCCCCGCCTTTGCTAAACTGGGCGTGGACATGGCCAGCACGTGACACATCCAGCCTGTGGGCTGCGAGTTTAACAGCCCTGCTTTAAAGCAAATATTCAATTACTTAAAGATTTATAGTATAACTTAATTANGAGTTGGAAGGGACCTTGGAGTCTTCTAGTCCAACCATCTGCTTAGGTAAGAAACCCTGTATCATTTTAGACAAAAGATTGTCCAATCTCTTATTAAAGCAGTCACTGATTAACTGTCAGGAAATTTCTCCTTAGTTCTAGGTTGCTTCTCTCCTTGATTAGTTTCCATCAATTGCTTCTTGTCCTACCCTCAGGTGCTTTGGAGAATAGCTTGAGTCCCTCTTCTTCGTGGCAGCCCCTGAGATATTGGAACACTGCTATTATGTCACTTGAATCTCAGTGGAGTTTCATTCAGTCACTACACTATAGATTAATTTTTAAAACCAAAACATACACATTATTTCCTCTTTGAGTGAAAAATACAATATTGAAATGAAAGACTTAACACACATTTTTGTTACTTTATAGAATATTAACTGTTACCTCATCGATAATAATGGATTTATATTAGTTTCAGAAGACTACACGCAGGTAAATAGAAATCTGTTTCTTGCCTTCTCAAAAATCTAGTGTTCTGCAATGCGTTTTGCCGGTGGTATACAGAAATAACGAATACCCTGAGATGAAAAGAATTTTTAAAAGACGCTTTGCCCGAAAGCACACAGTTTTCTTTTCAGAGGGTCTGAAATAATTACCTTTCTGATGGTCTGGAATAATGAATTTTCATTGGGTGGGTCTGCTTTTAAGCTCATAAAAATTTAAGTTATAGAATCCCTTCTTCAGACATGTCTACCATGCCTGAAGACACTTATGTTAAATATGGATTTCTCCTCAAGCTTTCTGCCCAAATTTAAAAATGATTGTGTTTAGATTTTGAACATTTTGGTAATTCTATTTGAGCAAGTTAGGGCAATTGATAATTGCATAGGAAGTTTAAAGGATTAATTAAGTTATTAGAAAAGGAAATAAAAATAGAAGATGATACGTAATCTGGCTTTTAGCCAAACCTGATGCAGCAGCTGAAGTCTTTGATCTGCAATAAAAATTATATAGAAATTGTGAAATATCAGAAGCCTGATAGCACCTTTTCTGGCTAACAACTTTTATTAAAAGTCATAAGCAGAGGTGGGTTTCTGCTGGTCCGCCCCGGATAACACAAACAGGTAGTGGGGGCAGTGGGAGGCTCCACCCACCCACCTAGTTGCACGATTGTGAGAGCGAGCGCACATGCACGAGCGAACCGGTAGTAAAATAAATTGAAACCCACCACTGGCCATAAGCATTTGCAAATATTTACAGTAAGCCATTTAACAAAAAGTCACAGCCAGAACAGATGTTACCAGATGATTCCTTAGTGTCAGGCTTCCAGCTAACTAAATAGCAATGTTTGTACTGTAATGGCTTCTATCTCTTCCATAACTTTAAATAAGATAAATGTAACATTTAATCTTTTTGAAGTAAACAGAGCCATAAGACAATGGTCCTTGCAATAGTAACTAAAGAATATATTGAGTAATCCGATATTTTCAGATGCAGGGCACAATCAAACGCTAATGAGCAGATATCCATTTCTTCTCTGCTGAATGTATCCTGGTTTTTCCCAGATTTATTTTAAAAAGTTATGTAACTCAACTGACTTTGAAGGTTGATGAAGGGGATTCTGTAATTGAAAAGTTCTGTCAGTGGAAAAACTATATTGGATTCCACTAATGAATATAATTTATGGAAACAGGACTATAACTTGAAAAATAATGGAATATGCTTCCATTTCCCTTTTATGGCAATTGTATAGACATCCTTTTTCATGGGTTGCTGAAAAAGCAGTACTATTGTGTACTCTGCAAAATTAGTCGTATTGTATATACAGTAATTGGGCAGATCAAATTAACTTCTGTAGAAGAGAAAATTCTAGACATAATCTAGGTAAAGTTAAGCAGAAAGTTATGTTCCACAACTTTATTATAAACAAACCACAGATTTTAATATTTCTAAACAATGGGAATTGAAACTGATCACACCCTTTGTTTCAAATTAATTAACCTGTATTATGTTGAAAGTTAACTTTTAAAGTTGATTAATGACTCTATATTTTAAGCAAAATTTCATTTTTTTTCCAGTAAATTGGATATGTTCTTCTAAAAGGGACGCATGTTTAGACTTATTTGATGATTGACATCCTCAGACAGGCCTTCAGAACTGAATGTGTTCAAGCTATAAAATGCAAATGCTCGTACCGAATTTTACCCACTCAAATTGTGTGTGTGTTTGTGTGTGTGTGTGTGTGTGTGTGTGTGTTCCAGCATAACTCTGGAATGCCTTGAAAAATTTCAACCAAAGTTGGCACTGGAGAAAAATACTCTAGTGGGGGTAAGACACCCCTAACATCCCTCGAGATGTGTGTTCTGTTAAGATACAGCCTGTTGTGCCGTATTGCCGTACTGACTTCTACTGTACAGTGTAGTGGAGTTGCTATGGTAATGGTTTCACAGTACTCCACAAGGGTGCTCCCTCTGGTGAGGGGGAAAATCCAACATTAGAAATTATATTTGGTCCTGACATTTTTCCCCTATAAATAAATCCCTGGGCAACACCAGGTTATTGGCTAGTTGGGATATAAAAAGGAAGCTCTTACTATATTAACAAAAAAAAAATCTTCCATTTTGGGCCTCACTTGTAATTTCATTGCCAGCAAACTCCCAGATGCATATTTAAAGCCTAGTCTATCACTTACAGCCAAATCAGTATTTCATTAAAGCAAACTTAATAGAATTCATGCAATATCCTTTTTCCCCTGTAGAAATGCTGGGATTACTTCTTTAAGGAATAAACAAAAGTTGTTACTGTAAAATGACATATGCTGCATATATGGGGGATTTGAATGTCAAGAGAAAAAGCCTAGCCAAATCTCTTAGGGATTGGCCAGAAAATCCACAACCTAAGACTTTGAATTCTTATCTCAAACTTATCTTTGTCAATTCTTTTTTTAGGATAGTAAATAGAGTCTAAATAGCTCATTTCGTAATACAAAACTAAATATTTATGTGTGTGATTAAAATGCAGAGCATTAAATAGGTCATGTAGGAATTATTAAAGAAAACCCTTTTTATTATTTGTTTAGAATTTTCTTTCGAACCCTATTTACACTTTTGTGAAATAGAACTTTGATCAAATGGGTTTATGTTCAGATTAGAGCATTTTCTTTGCAATATATGTATGTATGTATGTATGTATGTATGTATGTATGTATGTATGTATGTATGTAGTATTTGTGCTGATAAATAAATAAAATTATGATCATTTTATAGGAATAAAATTGTAACCAGTGTTGATTTGCATTTATCTAAAATTTCTGGACATTTTCCTTTGGCTTCAGACTGGAAACTTCTTTGGTGAGATTGAAGGTGCAGTGATGAACAAATTGCTAATAATGGACTCATTTAAAAGGTAAGGATGTACACACCTATTTCGTTTTGCTAAAATGAGCATTTATGTCCAACAAATGCAAGGATTGGTTTGTGCATCTATCTTATGTATCTATCTTGATCTTAGTGTCCTGTATTTCAATACTTCTTTCAGGTAACATCCCAAAATGAAATACATCTTTGTAGCAAAATGTTAAATTCGTAATTTATCATGCTTATAATAAAAATGCAATTTCAGCAAATCTTTGTGATTGTTCCCATGAACGGCATAGTGGCCTAATGGTGGAGCTCTCGTCTAACAATCAGGAGCTGTGAGTTCAATCTTAGGTAGTAGCAGATATTTCTCTCTTTCAGAAAATATCTGCTGTGAGCTTTACATAGGCATCAGGAAGGGCATCTGGCCAGTAAATGCTCAGCTGCATTCAATTGCCCTGAATACATCCCGATGCAAGGGATCACAGGATCATTAAAAGAAAAAAAAATGTGGTTGTTCCCATATTTATCCTCCTATTTCAGTGCTGGGGAAGGATAGTCGCATATTGAGAGAGCATTTGTCTTTTATAGGAATGCAAGTGTGCATTAAAATCAGTGAAAGGCTAGGCCAATTCAAAAGAGACAAACTATTTGGCATTATACAATAGTGAAGTAACTCTGTCTGATTTCATTCCTCATCTTTTCTTTACTATGAAATTATTCCTCCTCCCCTCTCAAATTTATTCCAAAACATCTTCCAAGATGGATTAGGCTAGGAAATAATTTGTGTGCAAGACTATCCAGTGATAGTTTAAGTGCTTCCAGAGCTGAAGTATCATTTTTAAATCAGTTCATTTTTAAATATGTAACCAGGATTTCAACCATATTGAAGAAGAGCAACACTTACAGATGAGGCCTTGGGCTGGTAATTCACTACAAAAAAATGACTTGTTCTAATTTAATACTGCCTCCAATAGGTTGTAATAAATCTCACAAGACTGGAACGCTGCCTAGTAGCCATATAGTGAAGGAAAGAAACAAAAGTGAAAGTGGAATGATGGCTGTAAGAAAAAGTAACTATCCTGTATTAAAAGATATTAAACATATAAATTAATCTTCCATCAAAATGGATGGAATGTAAGGAGATGTAAAAAAAAGAGGATAAGTTTCCTATTATGACATTGGACAGTACACAGTTTACCATATTTTTCGGACTATAAGACACATCAGAGTATAAGACGCACCATGATTTTGAAGAGGTAAATTTTTTTTAAAAGGTTTGGCACTCTGCAGGCCTCCCAAACCCTCTGCACGCCTCGTTTTTTGCAAAAAAAAAAAAAAGAATGCAGAGCTTTGGGAGGCTTGCAAAGTGCTCCTGGGGGCTGGGGGGAGGCAAAAACAAGCAAAAATGGCCCATTTTTCGCTCGTTTTTGACCTTCCTTCCCAAGAGCACTTTGCAAGCCTCCCAAACCGTCTGCACATCTATTTTTGCAAAGGGGCGGGGTTTTGGTAGGCCAAAAATGCTGTATTCGGTGTATAAGACACACCCAGATTTTCACCCTCTTTTTTTACGTGGGGGAGGTACGTCTTATACTCAAAAAAATATGGTAAGTCATGATCTTACAAACAATATAAAAACTGAATCAAAGCATTAAAAAAGCAGAAGTCTGGAAAATTAACACTATTTCTAATAAACTGCTTATCTTGCTGTGGGCTGTGCCATTCACTCTAGCCCAAGGCTTAGAGGAACTGAACTTTAAAAGCTTGTTTAAATAAGAACTGGGCAGGGACAATGCAGATTTCAGAGGTTGCAGGGGAGAGGATATTAGAGATACGTTGGCTGGTGACATAAATGTGCATATACAATTACAAGATATATTTATGTATAAAACAATATTGCTGACGTGTCATTCATAATGATAAGCTACACAATTCATGCTATTTATGCTGATGCAAAGGGACTTTGTGGGAATGGATGTGCTTAAAATGCAGATCTACCATCACTTAAGAAAACCACACCTGGTAGGAACCCAAAAAGTTGATCTGTACTTGGAAAGACCTCCGTGGGCAAAGAATGAGATTTCCAGAACAATATACTCTTCCCCCACTGGATATTCTCTCTGCCAGTGGAGGAAATATATAAAGCCAATCCAAATATCCTCCAATCAACAAACTGAGGGCAGAAGGAGGAGGGTGAAGATTAAGAGCAGTGATTCATATTTACAAAATATTTAATGCTTTTTGTTAAATGTTTTATCTGACAGGAATAAAGCACAGAGACTATGGATAAAGTGCTGGTATCCATTTTTATAATTCTGATAGCTAATTTGGAATGGCTCATGGATTAAACATTAATGCTTATAAAATTCCCAATATCAAAGTCAGCTGAGAATAGCTAAGTTCCACATTGAAAACACCTTGTAAGAAATATGAGCTGGCGATTTAAATACAAGGAGCTGGTTATTGCCAAAAAAATTGAATTGTCAAATTATATAATTAGACTTAAAGCTTCCCAGAGACACTTGGGACAGTGAAATGGGTATAAATTTAATAAATAAAATAAAATAATTCCTCTTTCTTTTCTTCCGCAAAACTGATACTGGCTGTTATGAAATAGAAAGTCAACCTTTTGTTTTATTTTCCATTCAGGCGAGGGAATATTTCAATCTAAAAATGAGTCATACCTAATTAGACTGTAGGATTAGTTGTATTGGAATCCTTCAATTTTTTTGGCAATAACCAGCTCCTTGTATGTCCATACTAGCTACGCTGCTTGTGGTTGAAATTTAAACTGTTTGGAGACCCAGATGTCTACTCACTATTTACAGTGATAAACTCATTGTCCCTTTAATAATTGTAGGATTGATGTTAAACTACAAAGGCAAACACAAATTTGATTCCTTCTAAAATATTTTCCTTTTATTTGCAATCTCTAGCATTTTTAATTTTAATTTTGTTTTGACACCTTTATCTGTCTATATGGTTTATATAAAAGTATCATGTTCTCAGTGGCCGTGTCTGTGTGTGTGAGAGAGAGAGGGAGAGAGAGAGAAAGAGAGAGAGAGAGATCTTCCCCTGTAACAGTGTATTGGAGTCAAAGAATAGTTGATTGATGTAGCCAAGAGGGCCTTTACACAACTCCATCTGGTGCTCCAGTTGAGCTCCTTCCTGAATTGGAAGGCTCCTTCAAATTGTCACCCATGTCCTAGACACAGACTTGTGCAATGCAACAGCAATATGCTGAGATCTTTGCTTCACGAGTGACATTAGTTGCCAGTTTGCTTTGGGGTATAATTCAAGGTGTTGGTCACCACCTTCAGAGCACCGTATGGCCTAATGCTAGGTTATTGCCTGTCTGTCATGTTTTCTGTATAGCTAGAAATGCCCGCAGAATTCATGCATTCTGGGTTCCTTTGATTAAACAAAGGTTTATCAGGACTCAGGAGTGATGCCTTTTCTATCCCTGGACCTGCCCTCTAGAATGAAATTGCCACTGAAATCCATGTGCCTGTCCTCTTAGTGTTTAGCAAAGTCCTGAAGACCTGGTTGTCCTTGCAGGCATTGGGTTGACGAAGATGGAGCCACTTTTCAGATGGTATTTTCTTTTTGCTTTTATATAGAGTGACTGGATTCCATTTTGTTTTGTTTTGCATATTGTGAGCTGGCCAAGACTAGTCTGGAATTGAGTTGTGCCAACAGTGAGTGAAGTAAATGCATAAAACAATTACAACAGAATACATGTTTCCACTTACATATTTCCACTTGAACTCGTGCACAAAGTTTCTTCTGCATTTTTTTATATATAGATTTTTTTTTCTTTTTAAACAAACAAGCACAGACAAACATAAAACATAAAACCATCTTGCAGTTTCGTATAGTGTGTCAATTGGTTACAAAACTTTTGTACATCCTCACCATAGTCTTCGCTTATAAATTTATATAAAGTCTCGTATTATCGCTATATATATATATATATATGTATACAATTATTATCATTGTCAAACATTTATTTGACTATAACTATTATTACTTCATTTTATGTAAGATATTCTAAATTTTGAATAAATTTATATTATGGCATTTCTTTACATCATCCTAAATTCATCCAGTAGTAATACATCTTTATAAAATTCTCTAACATATTTCACTTCCATATTTTTTGTCTAACCATTGATAAAATAAGTCCCATATTTTATAAAATTGTTTATCTTTGGTTACAAAACTTTTGTACATCCTCTCCATTGTCCTCACTTACAAATTATATAAAATCTCATATTATCAATCTAATATATATGTAAACATTATTATCATTGTTAATCATTTATTTGACTATAACTATTATTACTTCATTTTATGCAAAATATTCTAAATTTAAATAAATTCAAATTAATTTTTATTATAGCATTTCGTTACATCATCCTGTATCCATCCAATAGTAGTACAATCTTTTATCTCTTGCCATTTGTGGTATTCGTATTCTAATTGCTTTTTTAGTAAATCTTGTATGAACATCTCTTGGCAACTTGTATTTCATTGCATATCTTGTAAAGGCTCGAAACCCCTCATCTGTTCCTTCCATCATCTTCCCTTCGGTTATCACCAATGCTTCTGCCAGAATTTATATCATTGCTTCTGCCAAATTTTCTCCCTTTTCTTCTTCTATATTCTGGAATCTGAGGTAAAATTCTAGTCTGTTGATCTCCCATTCCAATATTACACTCTTGTCTTTTCCAATCACACTCAATCTGCTGTCAATATCTCTAATTTTCTTATCTCTTTGTTCATCTTTTTCTTCAATTTTTTGAAATCTGTCCTCATATTTCATCCTCGTAATATTATCTAATCTCTTTTCAATGTTCTCTGTTCTTACTATATTTTTTGAATTTCTTGTATAATCATCTGCATGTCACTTCCTTTTCTTTTTATTGTTGCAACATCATCTGTTTTGATCTTTTCCTTCAGATAGTAAACCCTGCCACTATATAGAATCCAAGGCTCTTTTCCAAACAAAGTTAACAGTTCTCTTTCCAAGTTCACTGCAGGAGCACC